TAAGAATGATCAAAAGGCAGAGGAGAAAAATGTAAAGGAAAACACATTGCTTCTGATGAGATCTAAAGTGGGAAGGAGCTTGAAGAAGGTTGACTTGAAAAGTAGGTTTTCAAAGAACCAAGGTTGAAGTAAAAATAGTGCTAGAGACATGGAGGGTAGGCAGGGTGCCAGTGCTAGGCAAGTGAAAACAATTACTGGGGCGACAGCAGAAGAAACATCATAAGGTACTAAGACAAAAGTCTAAGAGTTTTAGAAACATGGAGAGTGATTTTGGATTGGGTTTTGGAGTGAATGTTGGCTGGGTCATGTAGTCACATTTACTGTAGGTACATGAAATGTAGAAACCAGCATTATACTCATCACAGCATCAACAGAAAACAATTCTGAGAACAGACTGTATAGAGTTTCACTAGTCAAGGAATGAAACCTTATCTTGACAGAAGCCAGTGAAGTTTCTTCACACTGCAAGAGAAACATTTACCTGAGGCAAAGGGAACTAAAAACTATAGATGCAAGATTTAGTGGTGTTGGACTTTTCAGGAGCATCTCTGCCTGCAGGGCAACAGATATTTGGACTGAAACAGAAGTCATGAAAGAAATGGAGAACAGGTTCAAGACAATGCCACATTTACAGAGTGTGATGGTAAAGAAGACATATCAGGGACAGAGGATTCTTGAGTCAGCTGTCTGCCTCTTGAGATACTTGGCAGAAAAAGGATCACTGAAAGTTACAGTTTGGCAATATTCTTGCATATACCCAGGCAAAAAACTGTGCCAGATAATTTATATATAACTGCTTGCGTAATAATTCATTGATGGAATAAGAGAAGAAAAAGTGAGTATGGAAGCAACAGAAAGGTTGTTGGTTAAGTACAGCTACACACAGGAAACTGAGACACTCTCTCATCTGGCTGATTTAACATTTTCAAATTTTTACTCTGTTTCAGCAGACTATTTATATAGGACTGTCCTTTGGTCTTTGTACACCGAATCACCCGTGAATGATGAAAATTTTCTCTGTGCCACAGTAGGTCCTGTACACCTTGCTTTTACATGGCCTTCAGAGCTGAACTGTAATAACAAAATTACTTATACAACCAATAAGTGTCCAAATGCTCCCATGAATCTCATATGCTGTTTCCATCTTCTCCCCCTGCTCCTCTAATTTCCTTGGCAAGATAGTTTATATACATTGGCAAGAGATGGCACGTCTTTTTGCACTTGGAAGTTATGAAATACTCATGCTATCTACCTGGAAAATGTTAAAAACCCCTGACATATTTATGTCATATTTAGTCTCCTTTCCCAGTATTTAATCATCAAAATTATTTCATTTTTTACTAATTTATTTGAAGAGCATCTCTGGAATTCCATCATTAAGTACAAAACTCCTACGAAAAGTAATGTAGTAACAAAAATCGGGCTTCATTAATGCTAAGATGTTAAGATTATACTAGATCAACAGAGGGCAGTCTTTGATAACTATAAATTTATATGTAGACTTGGTGAGCAGTAAACTTCTGTTTGTCTTATACAGGAACTTTGAGTTGTGTAGGTTTCAATAAGGAATACAGATCTGTGATCCATCATCAAAAGCAGACGCCAGGTGCTCTCAGAAAGGGCTGCATTTAAAATAAGAACAGATTTGCATTCATTTTTAAATAAATGTCTTAAAATACAGATTTATCCTGCTGAACCTCACAGGTAATATTTCAGAAGAGATGTTCATCACTAGATTTCCATGAGCACACTTTTATTTATTAATACTCTGTTAAATGAGCAGGTCTTCTTTGTCTTAAAGCTTTCTGTTTCTGTTTAGACTCAGAAATATAGTGTAGTAGTGTAGCAGAGCTGCAAGGATATGTAGACTCTTTTTTTCCCTGGTCAAATACCAGTCACCTTATTCACCAAAAAATTATTTTAAAAGATCAATGGACTTGTTATTGGGCCCAATTCTGATTTGTTACACTGACTTCAGAGACAATTGGTAGGAGAACACTTTGGATTTACAGCTATGTGATCAGATCAGAATTTAGCCAAAATGAATTTTTTTCAAGTACAATTTGAACACAACTGTTGGCACAAGCCAACCACTCAGCAAGCTAAGGAAAATCCTTTTAAAATTCTTATAAAATCTATAATCTGGAGCACTTTTTATTTTATGTTGTGCTGTGAAAAGAAAAAAAAACACATCTTGCACTTCATACTTGGACTGTGGCACAAGAGCTCATTGACTTGTTTGACAAGACAGCAACTGCTAAAAATAAAGAGGACTTCTGCTGTTTGTACATGGAGATTTACTACTTGATGATGCAGATAATAGAGATCAAACAACCTGACCGTGTATCCACTGAAAATAAGAAACGTTTGTATCAGAGATGGGTCAATCCCATCCCTTCATTACTTTTATCTTGATTTTTTTTTCCCCCAGTTAAGAAAATAAATCTGCCTAAAGTTTATTTGTTGGAATGCCCTTCTGCATTCACTTTCAACACAGCTATTTCAAAAGCTGTTCCTTCATCTACCAGATTTTTCTAACTCTCTTTACCAATTGAAAAGAGACATCCCAGATATGATCTCTTGATAAACATCACAACAAATACTGGACTGACGTTAACAGAGAAGAGATTGCTCTGTTATAAATATGGTTCAAAACACATCATCATTAAAGAGAAAATATTTTAAAGGCACATGTTTACCTGCTATCCCTAACAGTCTAAGAATATTAAAAACTGGGGAAAAAAATAGTGCACTTTTCATTAGATACCCTGGGGTTTTTTTCTTCTCCTAGAACAACAAATAAAAAAGCTAGATGCTATTTGTAAGTGATTTATTACCCTTTTTCACTAAGTCTCTCTACACACACATGCATATATGCACATACACACATGGTTTGAGTGGCAAACTCTGCAAAAGAGGGTTTATTTTGAAAAAAGGAAAATCTTTCTTCCTTGAAGTGAATAAATGTGAAGATTTCTACTGAACATGGGTTCTGTAAAACTTCATTTCACTACAGCCTAAATTTGGAATCAGATAGTACACATTTCTTTAGTAAGTTAAGCTATTCATGCCCATGCAGGCTCACCCCAATGCTACCTCAAATCTCTGTGCTGGGTCATTTGGGTTTGGTTGTTTTGTTTTGTTAGGTTTTATTTATTTATTGGTCTGTTTTAAAACAGAACCCAGGACTTGACACTAGACCATTATATCTGGGCAATTCCAGTCACTCCATCCTGAATATTGTCACCTCTGACAAGAAGAGATAATAACACCATGTTTGTGAAACTACGGGAGATCCTTCGTCCTGGGACTCAACTTTTTCTACTGAACTATCTTTCTTTGAGGCTTACAAATAAGATATTAACTTGCTGAAATCCAGCATGAATGCCTCATAAGGGCAGAGAAATGGTATTAGTGTTGCTTAACTTAGTAGATATCTAACTACTAGAATTAGTACCTCCTGCAGCAGCATCCAAGCCCATAATTCAGTATAGACAACTTTAACAAAATAGTTTTCTGCAGTTTTCCACAGGTATGTCAATAACAGAATATAATAAAAGTATCTCACAAATTAAAATAATCCAACGTTGTAGAACAGGTGTCCACTGATGTCCCCCTACCCCAAACCAAGCTGAATTACTTGTTGGAATGAATACTTATACATGAACGTGGCTGACTGCCCACGCCTCAAATTCCAAATTCAAGTTTTCCATACAGAAAACAAGACCACATGCCATAATGTTGCTCCACCACTGAAGGATAACTTCAGAGATTATTTTAAAAGAAGGCATCACAAACTTACACAAAGTAATTTCCAAACAGCTTTGGGTCGTCTTTGAATCTGCCCCTCCTTAGTGTTTTTCACTTTTATATTGTCAGAAACCTGTTTTAAAACAGACCGTTGGTCACATTTCATCAGCAAGAAAGAATTCTAGCAGCTGTGAGAGAAGATGAACAGAAAGTCAGAGCCTGCCACTAGCAACTTTAAAGGGCAAATGACTCCTGCAAGCTCCGGCTCTTATTAATATGCTTTTAACTGCAGACCCAAGATGGCAGAAACATGCGAAGCTTTTATTCACCCGCTGCTGTGAGTAGCCACCTCCGAGGAACGAAACTGGGTATTAATTAACGCGTTCTGCCCCGGAGACCCTTATCCGTTGTCTTCCTGGCGCAAAGGCGGGCGGTGCCGGCGAGCGGGTCTCCTCACCGCCC